ACACATCTTACTGGGTTGCCCCAGCCACTCTGGGCAGCTTCCAACATATATAAAAACATAATAAAACATTAAACATCTAAATAGGCCTTTAGGCCACACAGAAACCAACAGAACTGTACTGGTGAGGTATGTTGATGATTTGTTTCCTGTTTTTATTCCACTTAAACATCTGTCCCTTTTCTTACAGTCCAAGTAAGGAATATATTTGTAGTAGTATACATTCCTACGTATGTAGAATACATTGTGAATCAGACACATTCAGATAAGGGAAAAGTCAACAGTATCTCTGTCTACCGTCCAGCCAGCCAAATGCAACCACTCATAACACGATCATTGCCAGCTAATTGAAAGGTTTCTCAAAATTCTCAATTTCTAATACTGTTGATATAACACTGATAATAAAAAAGTGTTCTTGATATTTTAAAGAAAATGGGAGGGGACTAGCTCACATTTACTTGATATATTTACCTAAGTTGTAAGATGTCAGTGAGAAAATGCTCTTTGCGATAGGTGAGGTTCTATAGTTGGAGGCATTGACTGATTTCAGTTCATAATATGTCTCTACCACCATTTGTTTTTTAAACATTAATTGCTAAAAGAATCAAAAGTTTAACAAATAGATTACATATAAAATAGTGGTATGCACTGACCACAAGAACTGGATCAGATCTCATCTGAGCACTTCAGAATACAACCCACCTCTGTCTTGGGGTGCCTTGTAGGCTGCCAAATTTGGTTCAGAATTCATTTAAGCCTGCTTCATTTCCCACCAGTTGCATTCACCAAGAAACTTACTTGACTGGCTGCATATGTTTATTGCCTGCTGTTTTGGGGGGATTTGATGGTTTTATGGTTGTTTTAATGCTAATATTTTGTAATTTTTACTTGTGCAAGCTTTCACTGGAAAGGTGGACAAGCATTTTTAAAATAAAATTACATAAACAACCATTCAAATCGGCCACACTTCTTTATAAAATGGTTGAATGTTCTCATTTCATTAACATTGTGAAATGCATTTGAAAATTGACAAAGTGACATCAGTTTGACTAATGAAAGAGTGACCCACAATTTTTCCATCCATTCTTGTTTCAAATATATTTCCAATGATGTGCAAAAATTTATCTAGCAACTGCTGGTGCATTTAGTAATACTTCATGTTTCTGTCTAGAGACCAAAGAGTGCAAATGTTTATGTTGATATTGCAAATAGTACTGATGACAAGGTACAGCCTTGGTCCTGAATCTCTTCTGATATTAATATTTTTTCATCAACCATTTATTAATATGGTAGAACCTCGGCTTACATTACCCTTGGGTAACGTAAACTTTGGGTTGCAAAAGCGGCAAACCCGGAACTATTTTTCTGGGTTTCGCCGCTCGTGCATGCGCAGAAGCACTCTACGCGCCATGTGCATGTGCAGAACAGGCACCTCCAGTTGCGGAAACCTCAGGCTCCGACCAGAGCTCCAAAACGGATCCCGTCTGCAACCAGAGGTACCACTGTAAAGACAAACTGATGGATATGAATGTATTTTATTACAAAGCCAATAACCTTATTGTCAAAACTTTTGGGGGGTTTTTTGGGGGGGGAGTTCACATTGGAGAAACTATTTCCATTCTAACCTATCAAATGCCCTTTCAGGATTGAGAACTAGAATCAGGAGGAAGGAGCCAATGACCTGTGTTGCTCCCAGCAACTAGAAAACTCAAGAAGACCTTAAGCAAAGTTGCTGGTCAGTTTGAGCCCACTGGCATCTTAGCTTTTAACAGTTATGTATACAGTTAGGCATGGTGTGCATAAAGCGGACAGGGAGATGTCTTTCTCCCTCTCTCATAATATAGAGCTTGGAGACATCTGAATGTTGCAGGATTCAGCACTGACAAAGAAAATGCTTCTTCACAGAGTGCATGGTTAAAATATAAAATTCTCTCCCATGCAATGTAGTGATTGCCACCACATTGAACAGCTCTGAAAGAAGATTAGACAAATTCATGGAGGAAAAGGCTATCAGTGGCTACTAAGCAAGATGCGTCTCCTTCCTTAGAGGTTTTTAAGCAGAGGTTGGATGGTCATCTATCATGGATGCTTCAGCCCTGATTCCTGTATTGCATGTGGTTGGACTGGATTATCCTTGGGGTCCCTTCCAACTTTAAAGTTCTATAATTCCGTGATTCTAGAACCATGTTTTGCCTTTATTGTCAGAGGCAGCATGCCTCAGGATATAAGTAAAGGTAAAGGACAGTTAGGTCCAGTCAAACTTGACTTGACTGGGGTGTGGTGCTAATTTCGCTTCAGGCCGAAGGAGCCGGTGTTTGTCCACAGACAGCTTTCCAGGTTATGTGGCTAGCATGACTGGGGACTCAGCTACATTGGCAAAGAAAAAGTGCTTTCTATGTGTTATAACACTGAGACACCAGGTGGCACTGTGGAGTCCCGTCTTTCACCAACGTGATTTCCCTTTATGAAGTTTAGAACGCGTTTTCCTGAAATGCATTTTCAATATGTCTAGATCCAGCCTAAACCACTTCTGGCGCATGGAGCACTGTGATGAGTGCCAGAGCACAGGGAAATGCCGTTTACCTTCCCGCTGCAGTGGTACCTATTTATCTACTTGCACTGGCAAGGCTTTCGAACCGCTAGGTTGGCAGGAGCTGGGACTGAGCAATGGGAACTCACCCTGTCGCACAGCTTTGAACTGCCGACCTTCCAACTGGCAAGCCCAAGAGTCTCAGTGGTTTAGACCACAGCGCCACCCTCACCTGCCTCAGTATACCACATACTGGTAATCAGAAGTAGGGAGAGTGCTGCTGCTTCCAGGCTTCCCATAGACATCAGGTCGGCTACTGTGAAAATAGGATGCTGGACCTGGAAGATGATACCATAGCCAGGTCATTAATGGGATTTAGAATGCTTATAATGATATTGTTATTGTTGCGTTTACTGCCCTGAACTCCTTTGGGGGAAAGGACCAGGTATAAATTTATAGTAATAGTAGTAGTAGTGGTGGTGGTGGTAGTGGTAGATTATCAAACTCCTTTTGTTAAATCTTATATTCCATTTTGTTGCAAGGTTAGCAAACTTTTGTGACAGGCCCATTCACAACACAGCCATGCTCATGACACTTTTCTGAATGTGGTCTGGGTTCCACACTCCATGAAGTGCAAGCACTAAGCACTTTCCTTTGAGATAAAGAAAAGGTGCCATTGATTATGTGACATGTTATGCAAAAACTCCAAATTCCCCACTGTTTTAACATTAATTCAATAGGCCAGTATAAAACCAGCTCGACTACTTATTTCCTTCTTCAAAATATTTGCAATGGAATATGTTATGTCTCAGGTCGATAGAATATTGGTTTCTTATCTCCTCTGAAACATATTCTGGGTCTGAATGCCTAGAAAAATCCAGGAGCTGTTCTGTCAGTAAAATGCCCCCGTCTTACCAGAAATGTTCAAATTTCAAGAGAACACTTACAGCTACAACCAATTGGATGAATAACACAGTGATTTTACAGTAATATGTTGTGTGCCCCACAGCTGCATCTGAAAATGTAAAATGCTTAGTAAATCTTCCATGTGGGCGTTGTTGATCTTGAACTGAAGGAGAGTATTCTGCAATGTCCCAGTTGTCATTCCGTGTTTGACAGATTTTGGAATGGGATATAACAAGATGTCCAAAATCATCCAAGACAGAACTTTCTCCTGCAGTAAAAACAAACAAAAAAGGATTGGGAGCTTTAACAAGCGACAAGTACAATGAAAAAGGAGGATTGCTATTTATACATTTGACTTGCTGTTTTTCTTTAGAACAGGAACTAAGAAAGAAAAGAGAGGCTCTCATCTCCCACTCAGTACCCGCAAATAGCTTAGAATAGGAAAGTGGAAAAATTACTCCTTTTATTTATGATGGATAAATCACTACAAGTACCTGATTTTGAAACAATTCAGAGATATTTGACCTAGATAATACCCAACATTTTTTCAATATATCAGTCATCTGCATTAAATTTTGAAGCCTTTACCACAGTTTCTCATTAGCTTTGGTAATTTAATTATGTTCGATAAAACATTTTATCCTCTCTCTCTCTCTCTCTCTCTCTCTCTCTCTCTCTCTGAAAGCTGTTTACAATGTAATATTTAAAAGCTTGGTAAGTAATAGTAATTTAAATAATCCAGAGCTGTTATCATTAACAGCAAACTGAACAATCTATGTGGTGTTATCCTATGTGCGCTTGATAATTTGCATTGAATTCAGTGGGACATTCTTTGCCACTAAGTTGTTTAGGACCGGATGCAAAAAAAACTGTTGCACCAGAAGCGGTTTAGTCATGCTGGCCACATGATCCAGAAAGCTGTCTGTGGACAAAGGCCGGCTCCATCAGCATGAAAGCAGGATGGGCACTGTAACCCATAGTCAAATTCAACTGGACTTAACCATCCAGAGGTCCTTTACCTTTACGTTTTTCACCTAAACAAATTATCTTCATGGCAGAAATAGAAGCAGTGGCATCTCTGTTTTTCTTTCATGTTTTCTTCTCCACTCTTCCCAGTAACATAAGCACAAGCTTGTGACCCAATGCAATACAATTAAAAGAAGGGACTGTTGACAACTGAAGTTGTTCAAAATGTAGCTGGCTCTGTTAACATCTACACCATGCTACGTCATGTAGCATACAGATCATCACTGCTCATATCTTAACAACTTCAAATCTTCTTAAAGCCTGAACTGGACAAGTCATTCAACCCCCTCCCCCATTCTCCAAACAGTTATTTGGAGATCTCTGTAAAAGAACTATTCAGCAGGTCCCCATCATCCACTAGCTACTACTTCACATTTTCTGAAGAGCCAAGCCCAAGTGGCTGGAAAGCGATGAACACTTGTTTTAGGCAAGGCAAGCCTAACAAAAATTGCTCCTCACTTATTAGGCAGGTGATAGGTACATAACAGCGAGGAAAACTGCATGGTTTTCCTTCTGTAGGAATACAATGGCTCATCCTTCCCCAACCTAGTATCCTCCAGATGTTTTGGACAGCATCTCCCACCATTCCTTACCAGGATGGGGCTGGTGAGAGTTGTAGTCCAAAACATCTGGAGGGCACCAGGTTGGGGAAGGATGAGCCATTGTAATCCTACAAAGGGAAAACCATGCAGTTTTACTCACTATTACGAGCTATAGACTTAAACAAAACTAACATTAGTCAATGGCACAATTGATAACCACACACTCATAGCATAGACGATGGGCAAACAAGTGAAACTAAATGTGACTTCTTAGTTAAATGGGGTTTCATATGCATAACTCTGGGGTTATGAGTCATACTTTGGTTATACTTTGTATTGATTCAGTTATAGTGATGCTATGTATCAATATTCATTCAGACTGCCATTAAAACAATATGAGATTCCAAACGATGAAGGCTGAGAGAGGGAGAGAGAAAGGGAGAAGGAATAAATCATTTTACCATTGTTAGCCTGTAGAATTTATCTCATAATGAGACATTTTCCTCTGTTGGGTCTTTTAGACTTATTATTATAGTTCCTATTCTGCAGGTCTCCCCTGAGCTTTAATTATAGAATTTAAGTCTACTCAAAATGCCAGCTTTAACGGTCCTATAGACAGCAGTCACATTGCTATCCTCCTGATGGTCCTTCCTGGTTCAGTTTCCCAAACAGTACTGTGTTAATTCTATCTTGAGTATTCTGTGTCTCTGTCACTTTTTATGTACCCCCCCTCCATTTTTTCAGTTTAATTTTAAAGCTGGTAAATTCATTTCTGAGATTTTTCTATGTAGAATACTCTTTCAATTTCATTTCCTGGTGTTTAAACTCAGAAATAAGGCGTAGCTACAGAATAGGATTTTTACACCGCTTTAAATGTCTTAGTTTCATGCAAAGAATCTAGTGCGGAAACGGAGAATTCTCTGAAAGATCCATAGAGTTAACAGGATATTCTGGGAGAAGCAACTAGCATTATACCAGGTAGGATGTGTAGCATGGATATGTACTTACTTATACACCTATTAACTGCTTAATCAATAAAGCATATAAGCAGTTTCCATAAAAATAAAACAAGATTTTAAAAAGTTGACACTACTTATTAAAATGCCTTCTCTGCTTTTGAAGCTTGCTGTATTTACATGGGAAATCAGAACTTTTTCTTACTGTTAAATTACGCTTTATTTTAAATAAATTTTACTGCATACTAAAATTAAAGCATATACAAAAGCACATACAACAAGTTGCCTTTAAATTACATCAGATGAACTCCAAGCATTCCTTAGATATCAACAATCATCTAGTTTTGATACGTACACATTATGCTAGACTAAATTGACACCGCTGTGGTGTAATGGGTGCAGCACTGCACCAGGGTTCAAATCCCTACTCAGCCTTGAAGCTCACCTTTGGTCAATCAATACCTCTCAGCCTCACCTGTCCCACTGGGTTGTTGTGGGAATACAAGGGAGAGGAGGAGAATCATGGATTCCACCTTGAGCTTCTTGTAAGAAAGGTGGGATATAAATTCATATTGGTAAGTGAATAACAATTCATCGGTATGAACAAAAAATTGGTTGCCCATGCTCTGATGATCTCCTGTCTGAACTACCGTAACCCCCTCCATGTAGGGCTGCCCTTGGAGATGATCCAGAGGAAGCAGCTAGGGCAGAAGGCAGTTGCTAGGTCTGCCCAGTGGGGCAGCCCAATGGGAGCATGCATCACTGGTCCTGAAGTCACTGCACTGACTGCCTGTGAACTATGGGGCCCAATCCAGCATTTCAGTACTAACATATAAAGTTGTAAACAGCCTGAGTACTAAAAGAGCACCTTCCTTTGTATCAAGCATGGACCCTATGACGGCCAGGTGAGTCCTTTCAGCGGCACCACCAATGGGGTCTGCCCAGTCGGTGTTGACCCATGATAGGACCTTTTCAGTGGTAGTTCCCCATTTGTGGAATGACCTCCCTGGTGAAGTGAATCAGTCTCCCCCATCACTGACTTCCAGGAGGAAACTGAAAACATTTCTACCCAAGCTGGAAGATGGCTGGAAGATACTGTTTCTGGCAACTCATATATATGACTGGGGGTGTATTTCTTTTATTAAATGTTACAAATAGTATCAGTAAACAAACCAATAAAATTATTATCTTTTGTCCATGGCAAGATAAAGCATTTTAAGAACACTTTAAAGACAATATGCTCAATTCCTTTTGTACAGCCATTGCAGTACATCTTGGTAAATATTTTTAAATGGGAATTTTAAAGAACATATTGTAAATAGTCAACAATTAACAGTCAGCAGTATGCAGTTTGGTATCTCTGAGACATATAGTGTACTTTGAGTTTAATACATTGTATGTGGCAAGAAAGTATCGACTGTCATTTCGGGTATATTATTTAATAACCGTTTTCCATTTGCATTGCAGTTAAGATGAATTGGAGCACATATGAGTGTGGATGGGTGGGAGCACATGTTTAAATCGACCAGATTGCGCTAGACTAGGCTGGTGGGAGAGATTGCTCATTTTATATGCATTATAAAGTCAAACCACACTGAGGAGAAATTATCTTTTACAATCTGTTCATGGGGCAGCTGTAATTTATTGGTTAGTCTTTCTTAAAGACATCTCCACCTTCTCTGGAACTACTTAGGAAAGTTCTGCATGCTCTGAGTGAAGGCAGAAGCAAGCTACTGAAGCTGGCCTGAGAATGTTTTATACCATTGGTTTGGGTTAATATTTTAAATTGTGAACCGCCCTGAGATCTACAGATGAAGGGCAGCGGTGCTTTTTTTCTGGGGGGACGCAGGGGTTCACATACCCCTAAACTTTTTGTGAATCTTTGTACTTTTGTCCATTTATTGTATTTATTTTCTCTGATTTCAACTATAAAATGGTGATTTTCTTGAGTCAAAATGAGAGTACCCCTAAATATTTTTTTTTAGGAAAAAAAGCACTGAAGGGCAGTATACAAAAAAAACACAAATAAATAATAAAATGGCTGTTTTTCAGAGTATTTTGTACCAAGTTGTCCACTGCCACACCTGAAATATCTTTCCAATGTCTGGTTGTGTTACATTTGGGCATTTGTAGTAGATGGCTTACCAGTATATATGATGTGTTTGACACCCCAGGCTTCTTTGGGAGGAAGGATACAAAATAGGAGGAGGAGGTACAGGAGGGAAAGCAAGGAGAAGAGAGAAAAAGGAAAGTTTCAAAAGAACTTTGCTATACCATGTTGGGCAGCATGGTGGTGTAATTTCATTTTAAGTGGGGTGTGACATCATTAATGAGGTTGGGGGGTAGAAAAACAACACAGTAAACTCTGGAATGCTCCTTGCGTTGTCTCAGGTCTTCTTAAATGCTAAGTGTAAGAAAGAGCTCCCAGTCTAAGGCCGGTATTGCCCAAGTATTACATCAGCCTTTGCTCCAGTGCAACTCAACTTAGAAACATGTACTAACCCAACGAAAGAACAGTGGCAAGAAAAATTGATGAGCTACGCAGAGCGGGCTAAACTGACATACAAATTGCGGGACAAGGACAACTTTAAGGAAGAATGGGAGCTCTTTACAACATATCTAAAAGGACAAGAAAATGAATTGGACTCCTTGGCAGGTTTTGAATAAACATACACTAATTTATTAGTTGATAACATGGTAGATAAATTATGTAAGGATATGTATAATTTTATAACATGCAGAGAATAATATGTGCTGAGAAGTCAGAGAGAGGAGCTGAGGGAAGTCTCTGGGGGGAGGGTTTGAAGGGGGAGAAGGGGGAAAATAATGAATATGATATGTTTTGATAATTTGTTATGTGGAACCTGTTAACAAAAACACTTTTCTTAAAAAAGAAACATGTACTAACTAAGCCTTAAATTTAGAATGGGGGGGGGAGAATGTTAAACAATTTGGTTTCCAATTTAAAAGTGTTCACTCTCGTCTCTGCAGATGCTGTATGACAATATCTGTATGTAACCCTTTGAATCAGATAAAGTATTTTTGAAAGTCTGCTTGATAATATGTTTTCTTAAATGTGTTACAGGATTCATAGTAAATTTCTCACAGAAAATCATTTGCTAGGAAATAACAGAAGATGCAAATTCAGCTAACATTTTTTTTCAAAACAATATAAAAAGGTTATTTCTGGAAATATTCTTATAAATTCTTTTTCAAGACAGCTGGCAAGCATGTACACAAATGTGTGGGCTGCCACATACAGAAGGGAATTTGAGCACCAGCTCAAGACTGGAATCTTTGGTTTCCTTGAATGAAAAGGTCCAGAACTTCAGAACAATGAAGCTGGATTATCCACTGTGAAATGGGGTTGAAAAATGAACCAACAATCTTCAAATTCACAGATGTCACTGAAAATATTTTAGTGGAAACAGCTCAGAACATTGGACATCATTTTAATGGACATTTATGACCAGATTTTCTGTTGGTTACAAAACATCCAAGAATTGTATCTAAGTCATACTCATCAAAATCAATGGATTGAAATTAGTATTGGTTAGGGTTGCCATTCTCCAGACATTACTGGGATTTCAAAGGCAGAAGTGATGTCCAGGGGGAATTTCTGGAAGGTGGCAGTTTGTCCTGGACCTTTGGCAAGTAAAAAAAAAAGATCAACAACTTGTCCTGGTTTTTACTTTTTGAAATATGGCAACCCTAGATTGGTGAACTTAAGTCCACTGGGTCTGCTCTGACTGTGACTTAGGGCTCAACCACACTCCTGCCTGTCCTGCGACTTCCTCCTGAGAAAACCAGATGTTTACAGCTGAATCGCATAAAAACCTATTGATGCTTGTTTCAATTCAGCAATGAACAGAGGGCTTTCCTGGGGGAAAGCAGTGGGAGAAACAAAAAACCACTCAGACCCAGAAAGGATGGGACAAGGGGCAAACCTCTTAGTCGGATACAACTCAAAGCACTGGTTGTGGTTTCAGTTCCAAGAATGGCATACTGTATGTTGCTGGAAAGGACTATACAGCAGCTCCTTTTTGGTTGGAAAATCCCCAAGGGAATGATATCTTCCTCACTGCTAGTGCTGTGCCTTAATCGGGAGACCTTGAATTTCTAAAATGCACTACTATGGCTGAACTTGTAC